AACTAGCTGATGGTTGAGGTCAACAAGCGTCAAAGGCCTTGGGGCAGAGCAAAAGCACGACTAATACGCATTGGTTAAGTCGCTACGCTCGCGCAATCCAAACGCATTGGTTAAGTCGCTACGCTCACGCAATCCATATGCATTGGTTAAATCGCTACGCTCGTACGACTAACATGTGTTAGTTAAGTCGCTACGCTCGCACAGTCAAAATGCTCTGGATGAGTTGCTACGCTCAACATTTGTAAGCTGTCATGATATATCAGCTAGAAGCTAGGTTCTTACCAAAACGAGTATACCACTTCTGCAAAGAATCCAACAAGGGGCAGGCTACCTAGAGTTTCGTTTGATTAAGGGAGAGTCCCTCCAACGCTCAATCAACACAAGTCATGTCGCTTCAACGCTCATTCTGGAGCAGACTACTTCAAGAATAATTTGAAGCCAATTACCCCAAGGGTCAGTTAATCAAGGTCAAAATCCTTTCCTGACTAAAATTTGCAACAAACCATCTCGAGATCATCTCATGGTATATTTGCGTCCGAATTCCTTTCATGACTTGGAGTTTTGGAACAAACCATCTCGAGTTCATCTCATGGTACAACTGTTTCCAACTTCCTTTCACGATGTGGAATGCTGGGGCAAGCCATCTCGAGTTCGTCTCATGGTATGATTGCTTCCAATTTCCGTTCAAGGAAAATTCCTTCATAGACCCAAACTGGGGCAAGTTGAACAACATTGGGGCAGTTACTCAAGCAAGTTTATTCTCGTCAGCAAAAGTTGAGTGTCGGGGAATCATGCCATCACCCCACCAAATAACCTTAACCTCCTGAAAGAGCCTCTCTGTCATTGGGTTTCACCCCCCACAGCCTGGACCTGATACCTGTCAGAGCTTTGTAACCGAAACAATACCTTCAAAGTCCAGTTCTCGTCTGGCAAATCATTCTAAAGTCCAGTCCTCATTGGCAACCACTAAAAGTCCACCCCCGTTAGCATCCTCAATAACCAAAGTCCAAACCATTTGGCAACTACTGAATCCAGTCCCTGGTGATATCCCCGACATGATTTCATCCCCAGCATACCTGGTCGCTGCATTATCATAAGCACGACATACAGCCTCATATCATAATCATATCAAGCATTAACATATCATTTGCATTCGCGTCGTGCACTCCCTAGCAGTTACATCTTAGTTGCATGTTTGGGCATCATAAAACATTGCATTACATAGCAATGTAGCAGGATCTAGGATCAGTTTGCAAGCATCTTGGTCAGTCTTCCAGTGAAGTTGGCAGTAATGAATCTGAAAAGAGTTGTTACCCCATGAGTTCAAGGAATTCTACTCCCCAACAAGTCATTCTTCAACCATGCAGTTGATGATGATAATCCCCATCAACTATTGCTCTGGTGGCTCCCCTAGCAGAGGTTATCTTAGAGAGTTTGTTGAAGATTTCTCCCCTGCAGAGTTCTGACAACGTCGTTCCTCTAATAGGAACTTTAGCTCAACTATTCCTCAGCAAAATTATCACTCGAGATACTGCTTTGGTATCATCGAAGAGCCTTAATGGATAAGGTACTGCTTTGACCACCCGAAGAATCTCAAGTTTTGTTCGAGATACTGCTTTGGTATCATCGAAGAGCCTTAATGGATAAGGTACTGCTTCGACCACCCGAAGAATCTCAAGTTTTGTTCGAGATACTGCTTTGGTATCATCGAAGAGCCTTAATGGATAAGGTACTGCTTCGACCACCCGAAGAATCTCAAGTTTTGTTCGAGATACTGCTTTGGTATCATCGAAGAGCCTTAATGGATAGGGTACTGCTTCGACCACCCGAAGAATCTCAAGTTTTGTTCGAGATACTGCTTTGGTATCATCGAAGAACCTTAATGGATAAGGTACTGCTTCAACCACCCGAAGAATCTCAAGTTTTGTTCGAGATACTACTTTGGTATCATCGAAGAGCCTTAGTGGATAAGGTACTGCTTCGACCACCCGAAGAATCTCAAGTTTTGTTCGAGATACTGCTTTGGTATCATCGAAGAGCCTTAATGGATAAGGTACTGCTTCGACCACCCGAAGAATCTTAAGTTTTTGTTCGAGATGCTGCCTTGGTATCATCGAAGAGCCTTAATGGATAAGGTACTGCTTCGACCACCCGAATAATCTCAAGTTTTGTTCGAGATACTGCTTTGGTATCATCGAAGAGCCTTAATGGATAAGGTACTGCTTCGACCATCCGAAGAATCTCAAGTTTTGATCAGAGATACTGCTTTGGTATCATCGAAGAGCCTTAATGGATAAGGTGCTGCTTCGACTACCCAAAGAATCTCAAGTTTTGTTAGAGATATTGCTTTGGTATCATCGAAGAGCCTTATTGGATAGGGTACTGCTTCGACCACCCGAAGAATCTCAAGTTGTGATCAGAGATACTGCTTTGGTATCATCGAAGAGCCTTATTGGATAAGGTATTGCTTCGACCACCCGAAGAATCTCAAGTTGTGATCAGAGATACTGCTTTGGTATCATCGAAGAACCTTATGGGATAAGGTACTGCTTCGACCACCCGAAGAATCTCAAGTTTTGTTCGAGATACTGCTTTGGTATCATCGAAGAGCCTTAATGGATAAGGTACTGCTTCGACCGCCCAAAGAATCTCAAGTTTTCGAGATACTGCTTTGGTATCATCGAAGAGCCTTAATGGATAAGGTACTGCTTCGACCGCCCGAAGAATCTCAAGTTTTCGAGATACTGCTTTGGTATCATCGAAGAACCTTATGGGATAAGGTACTGCTTCGACCACCCGAAGAATCTCAAGTTTTCGAGATACTGCTTTGGTATCATCGAAGAGCCTTAATGGATAAGGTACTGCTTCGACCACCCGAAGAATCTCAAGTTAATCGAGATACTGCTTTGGAATCATCGAAGAGTCTTAATGGATAAGGTACTGCTCCGACCACCCGAAGAATCTCAAGTTTTGTTCGAGATACTGCTTTGGTATCATCAAAGAGCCTTATTGGATAAGGTACCGCTTCGACCACCCGAAGAATCTCAAGTTGTGATCAAAGATACTGCTTTGGTATCATCGAAGAGCCTTATTGGATAGGGTACTGCTTCGACCACCCGAAGAATCTCAAGTTGTGATCAGAGATACTGCTTTGGTATCATCGAAGAGCCTTATTGGATAAGGTACTGCTTCGACCACCCGAAGAATCTCAAGTTGTGATCAGAGATACTGCTTTGGTATCATCGAAGAACCTTATGGGATAAGGTACTGCTTCGACCACCCGAAGAATCTCAAGTTTTGTTCGAGATACTGCTTTGGTATCATTGAAGAGCCTTAATGGATAAGGTACTGCTTCGACCGCCCGAAGAATCTCAAGTGTTCGAGATACTTCTTTGGTATCATCGAAGAGCCTTAATGGATAAGGTACTGCTTCGACCGCCCGAAGAATCTCAAGTTTTTGAGATACTGCTTTGGTATCATCGAAGAGCCTTAATGGATAAGGTACTGCTTTGACCACCCGAAGAATCTCAAGTTTTGCTCGAGATACTGCTTTGGTATCATCGAAGAGCCTTAATGGATAAGGCACTGCTTCGACCACCCAAAGAGGATCATTTATACCACTCTGGTACCGCGAAGAACCTTATTGGATAAGGGACTGCTTCGACCACCCAGGGAATATCAGGTTATCTCGTTCATCTATTTTGCATCTTGTCATCCCGTTCAGGTATATCCTATCTCTTTGCATTTTTACTTGCTTATCGGACAAATTTCGGGGTCTTTTTGTATCTAATTGACTTCCACCCTGAAAATGAACGCCATGCAGCTGTTCATTCTCTCAGGTTCAAGGCAATTAGATAGGGGCATCTGTCATACCCCAAATTTGTCCTACCTTTTTTCAAAATTCTCATTTGCCCGACTATGTTTTTAATTTACCTCGCTTATACAGCGTAGCGTATTTTTCAGCAAAAACAGGCATTTTCGCTTTTTAGCCCAATAAGAGTATGCCACGTGGCATTTGTTTTTTATATATATCTATCTTTTTTATATAATTTCTTTTTTCTCGTGATAGGTTAATATAATGTCTTTTTATTTTTTAATTAGTTTTGAATTAGAAATTAGGATTTAAATTTAATTTGTTTTTTAATTAGATAGATTTAATTTAGAACTTAATTATAATTTAGAAATTTTAATTTTAAAAAATATAGATTAAAAAATAGAGTTAGAATTTAATTAGAATTTATTTTAAATTATTAGATTAGATTTTAATTAATTAGCTTAGACTTAAAATTATAATTAATAGTTAGAATTAATTAAATAGGAAATAGGTTTTTAATTTAGTTTATTATTCAGAAAAATAAATTAAAAGAAAATGTTAAAAAAAAGAGGAAAGTTAAATTTGTTTGAGGACACGGGGATTAGGTTTGGTTTTTGTTTGGGATAAATAGGGGACCCCAATCACTGTTCAGATACCCTAAGAGTTAAGGGCACTGTTCACAAAACCCCCAAAAAAAACGGCCGCCCTAATTTTGAAGGGCAACCCTAATAACCATCCCCTTTCTAACCCTAATTTGGGTTTACTGTTCATGATCCCCTAAGGTTACCAAATCGGCGCCGGAAAAATCTCCGACCGAAACCCTAACGCCCACACATACCCTTCTCCTTCTCCTTTCGTCATCTTCAATTTCTTCCCCTTCCATTTTTTCCGCCGCCATTTCTCCTTCAATCGTCTTCATCTTCTCCTCCGCCATTGAAGCTTCTCACCACCACTAAAAATTCCATCGGGTTCTTCCTGACCCTTCATCTTATAAAAAACACATGATTATCACCATCATGAACCTTTGTTCTCTGCTACAAAAAACGTAACTCCATAGCAAAACTCAGCCATCACATATCGTTCTCCCCTTCATAACATAACCACCACCACCACTCACTCTCACCACCACCACTCACTCTTACCACCACCAACAACTGCTCAAAAATCATAAACCCTAGCGGAGAATATGCTAGCATGCACTAACAGCATCTTCCATGGCCCTGCCACATTCCACCGCCAATCCCAGCCTTCTAAATTCCTACTCTCCAAGCCTCTTCTCTTCCCTCGCCTCCCTCGCGTAGTCAATTTCGGGAAATTAAAGTTCAATTCGCTCTTTTCCGTTAAGAATAGCTTCCGCCGTTTCGACGTCAAATCTTCCGTCAATTCATCATCAGAAGTTTTGGAGTCCATTGATGTTGGTGTCCCGCATAGTTCCCTGCAAAAGCATTCGGTGAAGATTCCTGTTGGTGATAGACATATTTTGGTTGAGACTGGTCACATAGGAAGGCAAGAAAGTGGTTTTGTTACAGTTACGGATGGGGAGACCATTCTGTACACCACTGTTTGTTTGAATGATACTCCTAGTGAGCCATCCGATTTTTCCCCCCTTTCTGTGAATTATCAAGAGCGCTTTTCAGCTGCTGGTCGTACTAGTGGAGGTTTCTTCAAACGAGAAGGAAAAACCAAGGATCACGAGGTTCTTATTTGTAGATTGATTGATAGGCCTCTACGTCCTACTATGCCTAAGGGCTTCTACCATGAAACTCAAATATCATCTTGGGTTTTAAGCTATGATGGATCACATGCCCCCGATTCCTTGGCCATCACAGCTGCTGGTATAGCACTTGCACTTTCAGAAGTGCCTATGTCAAAAGCAGTTGCTGCAGTTCGAGTTGGCCTCATTGGTGATACGTATATAGTAAATCCTACAACCGAGGAGATGGAAAACTATGAGTTGGACCTCATGCTGGCAGGCACAGATAGCGCAATATTGATGATAGAGGGTTATAGCAATTTTCTTCCTGAAGAGAATCTACTTAAAGCTGTAGAAGTTGGTCAGGATGCAGTGCGAGCAATCTGTAATGAGGTAGAACTCTTGTTCAAGAAATGTGGGAAGACAAAGATGATTGATGCCATCAAGTTGCCTCCTCCCGAGCTTTATAAACATGTTGAGGTTGTATCCCGACTCAAGATCCGGGTTCAATATGTTATTATCGCGACATCACCCAGTTTCGGCTGCACAATGGCGGAATTCTGCTAGTTTCAGCTTTCGACACAAAAAACGCAACCAAACAGTTATAAGAATTTTCTGCTAAGGATTCTTCTCCTTTCCACTAACTGTCTGCTAAGTTTCGAGTTGTACATGTAACCTCTATTTTCTGCTGTATTTCTCTCAGCAGTATTCCAGCTCTGAAGCACTCATTCAGTTTAATGCATGGGAAGTCAAGTAGCCACAATCAACAACCGCCGCGGATGTTACCATGTTATCATTCATGCAAAAAGGGGAATTCTTTTTGTTTGTTGTTAATTACTTGTGCAGGTATCAAGTCTGATACAGGGCAAGATAATGAACAAAGTTGCGACAACATCGGCGAGTGAATGACACAACAAACACCAACAGTTGTAGCTCAGTTTCAGCAACAACATTGGTTCTGCTTCTCGCACGCTTACGACGCCGACACCAACATGAGGGCACATAACGAGAATGACCCAAATAATACAACTATTTTTGTTGGCAATTTTGATCCTAATGTCACAGACGATCATTTGAAACAAGTGTTTGGGCAATATGGAGAACTTGTTCATGTGAAGATTCCGTCAGGCAAGAGATGTGGGTTTGTCCAATTTGCAGACAGGAGCTCAGCAGTAACTCGCACTTTCGGTAACATTTCAAACGAGTTATCCTTTGCATATTATATTTTGTTTGCATGAGATGTTGCTGAGATTAGTTCTTGCCGACTGTTTGTTAAGTTTCGCTAGCCATTCAACTTGAATTGAGAATATGTTCCACTGCTTTCATTGCGACTTCAACTCTCAATTACTTATTTTGTTTTTAGCTAATGTTGGTATTATAATGGTGAAAACATTGTGTTTCTTGACCTTTTGGATTTCTAAAATAACTCAGTTCTAGTTTCATTTATGTACCACTGCTGGCTGTTGTGAGTTTACATTCGATGTTTGTCCGATATCGACTTGTGTGTATATATATCATGCCGTTTACGTAGAATTCGAATCGGGTTTGAATGTTGGTTTTGTGCAGATTTTTGTGGCAATTGATGAGTATAATATTGCTAGTGTTTAAATAAAGAAATGCGACTAGTGTGTGGATCGATTTCTTGGCGATGTTATTATTTCATTATACGACCTGCAAAAGGTTTATTACATGATGAATATATAACTATTGTTATGATGCTGCCGCTAATTCGACTCGTTGTATTTCACACTCGGATTCAATTCATGATTCAACCTTTTGGTATTAAATTTACATGTTGAATACACAACCCATGTAGAATTTATGTGCTTGTAATTTCCAGAAGTTGGATGTGTTTGTACTTTCTACCGCAACACAGAGTTTTGTGGCAGGATGAAATAGTTTTGTTTGTGTTTTCTATGAAAGCAGGAAGTTTATGATGTATGGCATTTTATCCTATTGCTCATGTTTATGTGTTTTATGGAGAAGTCTACAAAAAATAGATATAGAAAGCAAGGCTAATTACTGAAGTCATTTCAATTAGAAGCATGCGCAAATGTAATGGTGAAATTACTGTGATGGTGAGTTTTAAATTCAATAACTATGGGAATTCAATAAGTTGATTTCAATTATAAAATCCTTTTTTTATATAATTGATTAATTTATATGAAAATTAAAACTAGTTTTCTTAATTAAATTAGACTATTTTTCTTAAACAAATTTCAAAGATAATTAAATTCTTGGATCTCGCCTTCCTTGAATTTTTAAGTGACCGCTCTCAAGGTGCACACCTCGAGTTGTGATTCTTCTGATCTTATTCAATTTAATTGAATTTCTAAAAAAGTTTTTTTTTAAAAACAATTTTTATCAATTAGATATTTTATAATAAATTCCAAATATTCATTCTTTTAAAATACAATACATTTCAAAATTGTTACCAAATTAACATTTTAAATATTAAACTTTTCGAAAAATTATACTTCATTTAAAACTTATTTTTTTTCAAGATATTAAACTTTTTTTTCAAAACAATTAATTATAATAATATTTTAAGTATTAAAAAATATACTTTATTAATTAAGTTAAGATTTTAAACTTTTTCTTCAAAACAATTAGTTATGATTGATTTTTCTCAAAACTCTTTACAATTGATTAATTTATTTTATATGAAAATTAAAACTATTTTTCTTAATTAAATTAAACAATTTTCTCAAACAAATTTTAAAACAATTAAATTCTTGGATCTCGTCTTCCTTGAATTTTTTAAGCGACCGCTCTCGAGGTGCACACCTCGAGTTGTGACCCTTTCGATCTAATTTTCTAGAATACATAGCGCGCCTAGTTCGAGTACGCTAATATTTTCAACTTATTTTCTAAATCAAATCACGGAAGAATCGAGTTCTTGGAGTCGCGCATTCCTCGAATTTGAGAGTGACTACTATTGAGGCGTACGACTCGAATAGCGCGTCACTCGAACTTTCGTTTCTAAAATATTTCTCCTAATTATTTGGACAAGTACTTTCACCGTCCAACAAATATATTTTCATAATTAATGGGATGAAAAAGGTGTCGTTGGAATCTAGCATTCCAATGATGTCCCGACTAATTGGTTGCGAGACTGACGTCTCGTTTATCGAGTAGTCGTTATTCTCCCTTAAAATATTCAACCCAACTTTCTTTCCTCGCCTCCGTGCGATTGAAACTTTCTCAAACATATTTCATAATTATTCGAATGAAAAAGGCGTTGTTGGGATCTAGCATTCCAATAACACCCCGATTAATTGATTGCGAGGCTGACGTCTCGTTTATCGAGTAGTCGTCATTCTCCCTTCAAATTACCTAACCAAACTCCTACTTCTTGCCCCCGTGCAGTCGAACCCTTTCAAATCCATTCTCTTTCCCAAACCAAAACATCCAATACGATAAACCTAATTCCTCGCCCTCGTGCGATCTCCAGCTTAAATACCTTTTACCAAGAACATTGTTTAATCCCTTCTTCCGCGCACAACAAACTAGAGCTTCAGCCTACCCTAGCGAGCAGACAAGCCAACGTTTAGCAGTTAGAATGCGACCTAAGCACTCGTTCACATACCAAACCTTTACCGTAGTTAGCCGAACTACGACTGCTCTGATTCTTCATTCTCTTCCGAATGTAAGATACGTAGGCACAAGATTGTGATGATCTTGGCGAGCACAATCCCCTCTTTACCCGTAGTCCCACGAACTACGAATGCTCTAATTTTCCACTTCTTATAAGTGAAGATACGTAGGCACAAGGGCCCCAATCCTTGGCGAGCACCCTATCTTAAAACCACCCATTTCCCCCTATAGGAGAAACCTTAGAAGAAAACCAACAAGCATAGCTAACTTTACTCTCGAATCGATCAAGAGGTTCCCGTTGAGTACAACGGACGTAGAGGTTGCTAATACCTTCCCTCTGCGTAACCGACTCCCGAACCTAGAATATTGGTTGCGATGACCATGTTCTTATCTCCTTTAAGGTTTTATCGATATTTTCCTATTCCATCCTTGGAATGAATAAAGTTCGGTGGCGACTCTGTTTCGAACAGTATTTTCTGCGTCCATCGCGAGGATCGTATTTTTCGAGGTACGACAGATGGCGACTCTGCTGGGGATACGCATTGCCCTATGCAAGAGAGAGTCAAGCCTAACTTGACTCGATTCGAGAGTACTAACCTTTTGCTTACCTATTTTATTTATGTTTATTTTCTCCTATTGTTTATTTCTTGTTCTCTCTTTCTATCGTATGTTGTTTATTATATCTGCCTGCTGGATTCGGGGATAGCATTGCAAGTAAAGCTCTACACCCGAGCTTTGGAAAAAGAAGAGAGAAAACATAGTTTAGAATTGGTAGTAATTAGTGTTAGTCCCCAAGGACTCGCTCCTTGTGTGCTTAGCATGAAAGCTCCTCCAGAATAGACCTTTTCGTAAATCCTATCGTAACACAGCTAGCCTGTTGCACGATTTTATTCATGAAGGGTCCGTGACTCTGGGAACCACTCTTAGAACCAGTTTCTGCATTGGTGGTCGTGTAATGTTAGTCTCTGAGGACCCGCTCCTCGTGTGCCTAGCATGAGGACTCCGCTCAGGAGAGACCCTATCGTACTCTCGTTATAATACAACTAGCCTGTTGCGTGATGTTGATGCGATCGGTGTCCGTGATCCTGGGAACCTTATCCATCAACATAGAAGCTATCCCGTGAGTGGGTCTGTGGGTAAAGAATCTAGAAATTGCCTGGTATAGCCTACCGGTTAGGTTGCTTTGAGGTGCTTATGTTATCCTGGATCCTGTTTGCACCTACATTGCATTCGCATATCACTGGGTCTGCGTTTCATTTGCATCGTATATCGTATTCCAAAACCAAAAAAGCCTATCCACCCTTTATCCATAATCCGCAGTTGATTTCCCGACACAAGTAATGAACTTGACTTAGTGCTGGAAGACCATGGAACACTTGAGACAGAATCAATTTGAGCTATGAAAAGACGAGAACAACGCAGAAGGCAAGATGAAACAGCTGCCAGAAGTTAGCCCAACTGTGAAGCAAGAAAGAAGAGCTCAGTTCCTCAATACTGGCAGTTTCCTTATCATTTTTGTGCATTTGTAGTTTCCTTTATGTTAAGTGCTACTTGCTTTTAGACATTGTTTCTTATTTATGGTATTGTTAATGTGATAATTATGCATGTTTTTGATATCGACAATTATGAACGCAATCAAAAGAATAATCAAGTAGGTAAGCAAAACATATGAAAATAGAATTAAACATGCAACAGAGTGCAACCAAAGTAGTGTACGAGTACAACGCAAATGAAACAAAGTTAAGAACATAAACTTAAAACATAATAACTAGAAAGCAATAAAAGACAGCAATAACAACATATTCTCTAAATGTCCTCATCAGCCATATCCTCCTCGTCTTCTTCTTCTTCCTCACTATCATCTGCTTCTTCAATCTCGTCTTCCACGACCCTGGTGGTTGAATGTTGAGGATTAAGAACAAGGTTGCGGAGAGAGGCAATAGCTCTGGAGGTTTCGCGGTGCATATTCA